TCCTCGCCGACCGGTCTTTATTGAGCCAAAAATTGCTGTGGCCACTTTTCTCTTCACCCTCGCGGGCGGCGTTACTCAAAATGAGAGCAAAAGACAAGAATGACCTTCCAACCCCTCAGGACGATGAATTTTTGTCTGCAGATGTCGAAAGCTTTGGTTCTGACGGTGTTTTGAGCATCTGAGACACTGGGTTCGGAGAAGGCAGAGAAGTCTCGGACTTATCGTCAGGCACCAGGAGCTTGGTTACAACCGTACAAAGGAAATCCGAGATTCCGACTGAAGCCTATTTACTCCCCGCCGGCCGTGGAATGTGAAAGGCTCCGATACGTCACTCCAATGGGACAATACGCAGAGCAAAAAGCAAATTACGACGCGCCCCGGCAGAAGCAGAACCATTTAGCGAGAGCAAGCCAAGGCACATGAGATCTTCCGCGGAGCGGCGGAGCCTTGGGTCATTGCTTTTTTACTTCCTTTGGACTAATCTCCGTCACGATAAACCACGAGTTCATGAAAAGCGGCTGAACAATAGATGCGTTGAGATTGATGACCCACTCGAATAATACGGCCCCTCCCTTCCGCTCTGTATCGTTGGGCGGGGGGGGGGGTCCCAAAAGCTATAACTTGGTGTGTTTCCACTCACTAGAGCATCCAAACACAGTTTTCATGAACCGAGAACATTATAGATTGGACCGCATGATCGGCTGACTTGAATGAGTCAACCCAGATTCCAGGAACTCCGATGACGGGTTGGTGGACCCACACTCAATATAATTGATTGGAAATCTGGCCGAGGAAACGTAGAGACGGGTCCAGGGAACAGCTTGACCTAGCTATAGATAGTAACTGCGGCGACAAGTGTCTAAGTCAGTCGGCTCTATGATTATTCCGAAAATAGGTGGGTTGGAAGCACTTACTCCCCTTCTCTGAACGACAGAGAATGGGACTTAGGTGCTGAGGCGTTCATTGATCTTGACATGGAGACGAAATGTCCCCCGTCACAGTCTTTGAAGTTTTACAACCGGGAATTGACAGCTAGTTCGATGACGCGAGAGAAAAGACCGTGGCTTAGACAGATGTCTTGTAGGTCTCTCAAGGATTGGAAGCAGATGCATCGACTAAACAAGACAGCTTCACATTCTATCGTTCGATTCCAACTCCAGCAAAACAGATTTGGGAATCGGCTGCAAGTGCAATTTGGTGACATGCAGTCAAACCAGGAGCAGGAGCGCGTTCGCATGCGATTTTCTGTCAGATGATTAGGGACTATGGCTGACAATTATAGATCACTTGACCTACCATTCAAATTCGAGCCTTGGGTCGGATGCCTAAGGTTTAAACTTAGTGCTCGGGACTTTGTTCGAGTGAACAGTTAGAGTTGTTGCAATTCGAGTTCAAGCGTCGGCTTATGTAATGTGGTAATGGCTGTGCTGGCTCGACTCGAAGTTTTGCCTTGAGTTTTGCAGTCATCCATGGATATTCGACCATCTGTAAAGCAAGCATGAAGGCTGAACTCTGCTCAGCTGTTCTATGTGCTCCACCGGCGACTATATCCTGAAAGCCGCAATGGAATCTCGAACTCGACAGCCATGACCCCTGCATGACCCGTAGCGTCGGCGACGCAGACCCTTGCAAGCTATTCGACCATGAAGACTCTCGGTGCACAGGCATTCCAAGTCTGCATTCGGTGTACACAATCAAACTGGTTGTGTGTGGATGGAGAGAATTCTGGCAGTGCTCAGGAATGCGAGTGAGTGGTCCATAGTGCAGTTCAGGCCTCAGCTGATCAGTTGACCAAAGCCTCAAGATCTTAAGACAGCTCGCATCCAACTTATGGCACCTTGAGTGTCTCGAGTCTCAGATTGCCCGCATTATGGACCGTCAACTCTATCAACATCCCCTGTTACCCACTCCAAATTTGCGATGACCTTCTGACTTCGTTCAGGGCTTGCAAGGGGCCTTGAGAAAACGCAAGCAAAATTCAGCGCTGGAAAGACACGACGTGATTGATGGACCACGTCAGAATAGCCTAGGGATAGGAATATTTTCCGCCCTTCCTAACTGACTGCGGTCAGTCTCGACTAACGGGCCCCTAATCACTTTTCAACGTCGACTCAACGAGCTACGCAACGATGTCCTTATTTCTCGTCTGTCTGTCCGCCCGATGGTTATCGGTCACATTCTCAGCACAGATGTATAGCGATTCTCTCATGATGTGAAACTCAACGCAGCCTTACCGAAACATGGGAAGCTTTTCGACATTCATGAACGCAAGCGGGGCGAAATCAGCCAGAATATTTTTTGCAAATCTTCTGTCTGACATGTACTAGTTCCATCAAAAAGCGTTTCCGCTAAAGAAAACTCGCGCTGGTTTGGACTTAACCTGTCCTGTGTCTTGGAACCCTCAACACCCGCGCAGCTTTTGGGAGACGATAACACGGGACACCTTTGGCAAACCACTGGTCGCATCATATGCAAACTGAGCTCTAACAGGCTCTTCACGTTGTTGACCAGGATAATCTTTCATGAACCATTCTCCAATCGCCGTCGAATCTTCCATCGTCTTAGAGTATCGAATAAAACTCGCAGCAGACACCGAAGTCTCTTTGATATTCGAAACTCGATTCGCTGATATGGACCATTGCATTTGCCGCTTTCTCTTCAAGTGGTCGATGTGTAAGCTGTGGAACAGCAGTTCTGAATCTCACGCCTCATGTCTCCATGCATATCTCGGGTGGTTTTCTCATTGTTGGACGCCTGTCGGACTGACGAAGAGATTTCTTCTGCGTATCTCACGACGTCTGGGGATTTCTTTGGCGATTCGAACCCGGGGCTCTCTGCCGATAGCGGAACGACTGAACAGCTCTGATCAGTCATAGTTTGTTCAACTTCAAGCTGACGGAAAATTGTTTTGAAGCATCGCTCGGAGGGAAGTCGACGTGATGGACGACTACGTGTAATTTGATACATGATGCATGATGGCTCTGCTTATGAGCTCAGCGGGCTTCCTCCCAACCCTGCCAACATTAAAATTAGTCACAAATTACACCCTATCCCAAATCCGGCACATCCCATCCCAAAACGCCAAAAAACTTCCATCCCCGCTTCCATTTCGCCCAAACGGGACGAAAGAAAGAAGCCAGACCCTCATGCCGACGGCATGACCGGCAATCTCCATCCACGTGACCAAAATGCATGGGAAGTTCCTCCACATCCGATCTCCGACCCGGACTCCCGCTAAGCCCTCGAGCGACACATACAATCACAGCTCACTCCAGAAAATGCCCGCGTCGCGTCCCTCTCTTCTCCCTCATACCGCCTGTAGTGTTCGCATCCCCGGACTCGCAGATTTGGGAATCACCTAGTTTGATCTTTTACTTGAAGTACGTGTGGTTCTGTTAGACGTGTTGGGTGTGTTTGGATGGACTGTCGTATTGATTTGCGACTTTTGATTATTTTAGGGAATTTTGCTCGACGTTTGGGCGGTTTTGATACGAACAGCTGAAACTTTGCGATAACTTGTCTGAACTTGTGCGTGATGGTTTCTGTAGCTTGTGGTGATGGATTGACTGACGGATGGCTCATGGATGATAGGCCTGATCGATAATGCCTCCTAAGAAAGCCGTCACCGACGCTGAGAAACCCGCCAAGAAGAGTACGCCCTTTTTCTTCCCCTTTCCGCTTCCGCGTTTTTAACGTCTTCATCATTAGCGAAATCCGGTGGCCGCACGAAGAAGGTCTCAGCGTACAATAAATTCATGCAAACCGAACTTGCACGTCTCAAGGAGACTGAACCCAATACTCCCCATCTCGAAAGGTGCGTCCCTCCCCCCCGCCTCTTCTCTGTTCGGCGACTCATTTTGATGACGGCTGTTAGGTTCAAGATGGCTACGCAGAATTGGAAGACTGCAAAGGAGAACCCGAAGGCTGAAGCGTAGTGTGTCCACGCCGTCTCCCTCGGACTGAACGAATGATCTCGCCGATGTCTGTCTGTCTTACCCCCTATCTTCTCCTTCCTCTTCCCAGTACATAGTTTCTTCTTGGCCACCACTTATGTTACGTCTCTGCTGATTTCAATCTCCTCGTCGACCTTCTTCTAACCTCTTGGTCTGCGGTCGTCGTCATCTGATTTGTGCTTCTGATTTTGTGATTTCTTCTTGTGTATGTTATATCGTTCTAGTCTTATTCTGTTGCTTCCCTCGAGCTTGCTCTGACTCGTCTTGATCCTTCCTTGCAATGTCTTTGTCCTGAGTGATCCTGTTTCACAGTCGAATGCAACCCTCAAATCTTGAAGATGTATTTTGAAATGCATGAAATACAAGACATGTACCGTAAGACAAAGACATGAGACATGCATATGCCCGGCGGCGCGAGCCTGAGTCGAGTTGAAGGCGTGCTAGCTGGCGTGCCTGACTCGTGGTTGGGCGCCCGTTATAATTCCGACGGCGACGACGGTCGTTTCAAATTGCTCGACGGTCGACTCGACAGTCGACTCGACAGTCGTCTTGCTGATTGATCTTCTTGTTCTTGAAAGCGTTAGACCGTCAATCATGGATCCTAATAGAGAGAGGTTATTTCAAATGATTGTCGACAAGATTCACGCGCACGCCGCCGCCATCCAGGTTCATCCTTGCCATGATGGCGGTGAGGTCTGGTGCCTTCTACTCTGAACGTCCGTGAAGATGTATTGGCTCGAAGCGTGCACAAGAACAGATTATTCCAGGACAAGACGATTAGGGGTTTCAAATGTCAAATCCTGATGAAACTCGGAAACTCGACTGGCCGCCTGGACCGTGAAAGTCAAGCTCTCTGATTGAATGACAGAATATTACTTGAGACGAGGAAGTCAAATTCTTTCATGGATTTGAATCAGAAATAACGGAAAGAAAGTCGGCGCAGCTTCGCTCACGAAGCGAAGGGGACTTGAGGAGATGGGAGGGTTGACTCGCTCCTCAGACGATAGTTTTTGCATTATAGTCATACTATTTGTGCATACTTCCATCGCCGTGATAGCTCAGCTGGGAGAGCAGTAGACTGAAGCATCCCATCCGGGTTGGTATTCTAAAGGTCGCCTGTTCGAGCCAGGCTCATGGCATTACTTTTGCAATTTTTCATTGCATGTATAAAATCTAGAATAGCTGGGCTGTCATTTCTCGACTGCGCCGAGCTGACTAAAAGTTTGGGTGTTTGATGTCTCGATGATCTTCGGTGGGTTAATTGCTTCGTTGCGCCACGTTCATCTCGCAGTTCTGAGAAAACATTACTAAAGAACTCTAACAGTGTTCTTTGCCTTCAGCTTGAACTACATCTTGATGATCCGCGATCTCCGAGACAAAAAATCAGATAGCCCAATGCGCTCGCTGAATTGCAATGGCGCGATGGCCTACATTGCTTTAAATTACATGTAAACGCCTCGGGTTACAAGAGTGGCCGAGCTGCCCGAGCCATCGGCTCCGCCGGTGGACTCGGAGCCGCGTTCGGGTTCGGAGTGGCGGTTTGATCAAGATGAAGATAGTTTGAAAGACGTTGGTCGGGATGTTGTCATCGGTGATTGTAGTGCCTTACGACTGTATTGATGATGGCCCGGGTGGAGTCATTCTGATAAGGCGTCGATTCGGAGCCTTGTTCTAGTATCCTGAGAATTGAAAATTGAAGGAGTTCGCTTCGGCTGTCGTGGACTTCAAAGAGCTCGTCTTGTTCCTCAATATAGTCTTGCGCCACGGAGTCGGAATATTTTGATAAGCAATGAGAATTGTTGAGCACTGGTTTCTGATAAGCAGGGTTAATACTGCGCTCAACTCTTCGCTTGTGGCTACTCAGCTGCAGTCTGCACTAAGATCTTTAGACGTGAAATCGAGGATCAACTTTGGTAGAAGAGAAACTGAGTGTGCTCTGCTAAACTCAAACTCAATCAAATTGCTTAGAAGGGCCGTGACGTCGCTTCGTTCGACGGCCTCCCGACTCGAAGCCCCGAGAACCCCCTCGATCGAGTGGCCGATCAAGTACTAGTGTCAGCGCGCGAAGACAACGCGGGATACACTCTAAATCGGGTATGGAAGACACTGTTGAGGTCCTCTCGGCTTCGCCGTCGGCGAGAGGTACATGTAAGCATGAATTGAGTGGCTGTGTCGTTGGCAACGTCTAGAGCTATCCACTGCGCTTCTGCTTCCTCATTGGGAGACAAGAAAAGAAAATTTTGGGATCCATAGGGTCCCGAAACTTCATTTCACTGATACGACGCTGGGTTAGCGTGAGGTCTGTATTGCACGATTGTGTTAAAACCCGGAATTTTTTTCAATGCCCTTGTAAGATTGCGGCTGTGAGCTCCACCCTTCAGCGAAGTACCCGAAAATCGACCAGGCAGAAGTTATACAATGACTCGAGCTCGGCTAATTTCCCCGTTATGATATGCGTGAGACGCATCAGCTAGACGTTGAATGTTAACATTTGGCTTTCGTCAAACGTTCCCCTTACCCTACCCGGAAACACCCCGACCATATGGAGAGATGCCAAGGTGATCATCGGCAGGTCGATTGTGCACGCTCGGAGGACCATGCAGACCACCGCCGTGTGATTAGCGTATTGGGGATGTTGGAGTAAACAAGAACGACTCGTCCATAAAACCTGCTGGAAATCGGTCGACTTCATCCTCACCTTCAAGCGAAATCCTCATTCGACAGCTTCATATGGCCGACTTCAAGAGAATTATTATGGCGCACAGTTTCATCTCGTCCAGGAAGAAAACATACCTGGCCCAGCTTTCTGAGCTCGCGTCTCGGAATGGCGTCACCCTGGAATGGGAGGAAATGAGTGATGGTCCAGATCATCATACTATTTGGCAGGTGTATCCTATTGGTAAGCTTCTCGAAAGTCCGAAACACGCCTGCTGATCCCGAAATGGACAGTGAATGGACAGAAATGGACCATGTACATCCAGGCTGCTTCAAACAAGAAAGACGCAAAGGAGAAATCCGCAGAAGATGTCATAATGAAGCTTCGCGGACTATAGTGAGTTTTCCAATGCGCTGGAGGTGTTGTAGCACTTATGCTCGTACTATCAGTGTTTGAAGTCCCTATAGTGACCGGCTTCGATGGCGATCACCTGCCTTCCATGGATATTTTATTTATCTATAGTTATCCCCTCATATGTCGTGTTATGGCAGAAGGGAGAATGTTTACTGCAATTTATTCGTTACCTAGCTCGTCGTGAACAGTCAAAATGTAACCTACTTTATATATCAACGGAGTCCTTCTATACACGATCGGCGACGTCTCCAATGACCTGACATTGACTGGCTCATTCGGTGAAAGAGCAAGGTCTTGATGATGCTGCCTGCGCTTTATAAAATTTGCCGCATAAAATTCAGCTGCATCAAGGTAAAACGAGGTGTCGAGAATATTCTGTGACGCGATAGTAGGAAACAGAACTCCTCCGGATAATCGCCGATCGTTCGTGGCATGACTGAGTTCATATAGCCGATCAGACGACGAGCATTGGATGATGCTAAAGGGATAGTACAACCCGACGACGCCTCTGTGAAGGAGCGCTAATGATCGAGTATGCGCCGATCAGCCATCTGCAGAGGTCCTGTGCTCAGAAAGTCTCAAAGTCTAGCGCTTAATAGTCATAAAGACTCGCAGGATTAGTGTACGATATGGATCGTAGAGCGACCTTGGCACCTTGCTGGCCGTGACAAGCTTAGGTCGATGTACGATCCAGATGGGTTCATCAAGGGCGAGTCCGGTATTTCTTCAGACGCCGGATGACTATTGGTGGAGGACAAAAAGCGCCATTCCGGCCGTGTGGCGCCTGTCCGGGTCTCAAAGCTGTACCTTTAGATGTATGGCGATTGTTGAGACTGGATCGCAGGTGCTTTCGAAACAAGATTGTTTTCCACGATGAAGGACGACCAAGCACAAGAATCACCAGATACACGTGGTAATACGTAATCAGTTGATGTTCTCACAGTGCAAGTAGATCCTAGCACGAGCTTTATGATGTGCTAACCGCGAATCATTAATGAAGCTCAGACAAGTGTCCAAGGCGAACTACCAACGGAGTTATGAACGCTGCATCGCTTATGAAGCAGTTCCCGACCGAGAATGCGGAAAGTACTGCCACTTCATATTGAGTCAGAGCAATGCTATGTTGTAGGCATTTATTCAATCTGCGCTCTTGTCTGTGACGCACAATTATGCCACATATAGCGTACGATGCGCGTGGCATAGTGCTATCTGTGAATGAGAGGACGGAACCGAAAGGTGTGGCACCTCTCCGCCACTGATGGCCCAGATCTCCAGTAGTGCAAGAGCTTCCGGACTAATTGGAGACCGAGTTAGGTATAGTTTCGAACAGGTGAGCACCTGTGTCTGACGACGGAGAGTGAGCCAATAGCTTCCTAAGCGTCGTTCAAACTGTAACTATGACGCTGATCGGTGAAATGATGGCGGCGGATTGAAGATACCTCAAGGGAAGCAAAGATTATTGACTTTGGGGTATGCGTAGAGATCGCAACAGGACCTTTGGTGGTGCTGGTGGTTCACAGACCTTGCACCACCGACGGTCTCAGGTTGTTTCAAAGCGAGCAGCGCAAGCCGTCGAGCACGGTCTTTCTCTTCTATAAATCGAATTAGTTCGATGGAGTTCGACAGAAACAGAACCCATACATCGAATCATCCTTCAAACGCAATTTACTCCAAGAGATAAAATGGCCGATTTCAAAGCTGTCATCCTTGGACACACTTTCGTGTCTTCGACTCAGAAGCCATACGTCACCCAGCTCACTGAATTGGCCGCGCAAAACCGCGTCACTCTGGAGTGGGCTGAGGTACGTGAAGGTCCTGAGCAGACAACAATCTGGTACTGCTATCCCATAGGTGAGTTCTATGCAGAAAAAAGCCCTTAATGAAAACTCACTTTTCGCGCAGTGAATGGTCAAGCTTGGGCATCATACAACCAAGCGGGTTCTAGCAAGAAAGAGGCGAAGGAGAAATCCGCTGCCGAGACTGTTAGGATGCTTCGCCGATCCAAGTGAGCCTGTGAGGGATTTCTATGAGCAGTCGTATTTTGACATTTTTTTCGTAGCGGCGGCAAGTGACTTCCTCTTCGATGCAGAGATATAGGCGGTCGTATTCATAGACTTGGTTGAGCAGATGTCTTGCGGTACTTATATTGATAGAGGCGTGTTATTTATGCCGAAAAGCTATTTTTCATTGCAGTTTAGTCCCTCGTAAGCCACGTAACTCGTGTTGCTCATAATTTTCGAGTCCCTACGAGTGCCAATTTGTGGCATATTTATGACGTTGGGGTCCCAGACATGTGAGAAACGCGAAGGGCTTCATGGATTTGATGCAAAGTTTGACCAAAAGGTTCAACGTCCTTGAAACCAGAAGACTCTTATGACTCGAAGTGTTGCCAGATGCGAGGGCAGGTGAGTGCAGAAAGAGAGCGATCTGAAGTGACCGTGACAAAGCGTGACGCGATTTTCTGCCCAAAATGCAACGCGCTCTGCCCATGGTACGTGCAGTCCCTCCCTCGCAGTCGATCAACGTCCTAAGTATCATATAGCAACCTACGATAGTGCTCCTAAAGGAGGGTACCGACACTTCCCAAGGAAAAGGCCAACTTCTCTCAAATATCTCGGCATGCCTCGCAGTCGCAGAAACCCTTGCGACCACATTAGGTCCTCGGGGTATGGACAAGCTGATTGTGTCGCAGAGAGGAGAGGCACAGATCACTAATGATGGAGCTACCATTTTGAAGCTTTTGGATATCGTACATCCTGCTGCGCGAACGCTGGTCGATATTGGACGTGCGCAGGATGCTGAAGTCGGGGATGGAACGACGAGCGTGGTTCTGTTGGCGGCCCAGATCCTGAAAGAGATCAAGGGTTATATTGAGGAGGGTGTCAGTCCCCAGATTATCATTAAGGGTTTACGGAAAGCTTCACAACTGGTACGCACACGCAATGCGCTGAATTATGATTCCTTCTTCTCACCATGCATGCATTCTGTTAGGCCATTGATCGTATTAAGGAACTGCAAGTCACGGTTGACAAGTCTGATTCAAAGTCTGTTGATTTCTCTGTTTACCTT